AAGCAGGCTCCATGCACTGGGAGCCCGATGTGGGATTCGATCCCGGGTCTCCAGGATCGCGCCCTGGGCCAAAGGCAGGCGCCAAACCGCTGTGCCACCCAGGGATCCCCTTTTCTTAGTCTTTTAATAACAAAGCAGCATTTCTTTTCATTGATATAGCCCGCTTGAGATTCTCTCTCCCTCTGCCCCTCCCAGCCCCTGCAAGTGTGCTCTTGCTGTTTCTCTAAAATAAATAAGTAAATCTTAAAAAAAAAGGTAAAAAAGATGCTAAGAGAATAGATCTTAAAATTTCTCATGACAAGGAAAAGGTTGTAATTTTGTGGTGATGAATGTTAACTAGACTTACTGTCTAGTTTTTGTGAAATACAAATATCAAATCATTATGTTGTACACCTGAAACTAATACATTATTTTAAAATTTAGAGAGAAAAAAAAATTTATAAAGAAAGCATGCACAGGAGCTGGGAGGGGCAGAAGGAGAGAGAATCTCAAGCAGACTCTCTACTGAGCACGCCCAACATGGTGCTGGATCTCAGACCCTGAGATCATGACCTGAGCCAAAACCAAAACCAGCTGAACTACTCAGGCGCCCCCCTCTTAGCAGCTTTCAAATATACAACACAGTATAGTTATACAACACAGTATAGTTAATCACAGTCACCATGCTGTACTCACATCTCCAGGACTTGTTTATTTTATAACTGGAAGCTTGTGCCTTTTGACCACCTTCACCCATGTTGCCCATCCCCACCTCCACCCACTACCCCTGGCCACCACCAATCTGTTCTCTGTGTCTATGAGTTCAGATTTTTGTTTTTGTTTTTTTAGATGCCAAATGTAAGTGAAATCATATAGTATTTGTCTTTCCCTGTTTGACTTACTTTGCTTAACATAATGCCCTCAGGATCCATTCATCTTGTCACAAATGGCAAGATTTCACTCTTTTGGTTTTTCATTCTAATGCCTGAAAAATATTCCACTGTTTTCTATGTTTATAACATATATACACATGTATACCTATATACTGCAACTTCTCTATTTATTGGACACTTAGGTTGTTCCCGTGTCTTGGTGATTGTAATTAACGCTGCAATGAATCTGGGTGTATATATATCTTTTGAGTTAGTGGTTTCATTTCTGTTGGGTAAATACAGAAGTGGAATTGCTGGATCATGTCATAGCTCTGCTTTTAAGTTTTTTTTTTTAATAATTATCCCTTGTTTTTTTTTAATTTTTTTTAAATTTTTATTTATTTACGGTAGTCACAGAGAGACAGAGAGAGAGGCAGAGACACAGGCAGATGGAGAAGCAGGCTCCATGCACCGGGAGCCCGACGTGGGATTCGATCCTGGGTCTCCAGGATCGCGCCCTGGGCCAAAGGCAGGCGCTAAACCGCTGCGCCACCCAGGGATCCCTGCTTTTAAGTTTTTGAGGAACCTCCATTGTTTTCCATAGTGACTGCACGAGTTCATATTTCCACCAGCAAGGCACAAGGGTTCTCTTCTCCACATCCTTGCCAATGCTTATTTCTTGTCTTTTTGATAATAGTCCTTCTAACAGGTGTGACATGATAATCTCATTGTGGGTTTGATTTCCATTTCCCTGATGATTAGTGATGTTGAGTCTCTTTTCATGTGCCTGTTGGCTATCTGGATATCTTGGGGTAAAATGTCTCTTCAGGTCCTCTGCCCATATTTTAATTGGATTGTTTGTTTCTTTGCTATTGAGTTGTATTAATTCCTCGCACATTTTGGATATCAGGTCTTTATCAGATATATGATTTGCCAGTATAATATCCCATTATATCAGATATAATGGGAACCTTGTCTCCTATTCACTATGTTGACTTTTCATTTGGCTTATGGTTTCCTTTGCTGATGCAGAAGCTTCTTAGATTGATGTCATTTTGCTTGTTCGTTTTTGCTTTTGTTGCCTTTATTTTGGTATTAGATCCAAAAAAAAAATTATTGTCAAGACCAATATCAAAGAACTTAACTATCTATGTTTTCTCCTAGGAGTTTTGTGGTTTCAGGTCTTATGTTCAAGTCTTTAATCCATTTGAGTTAATTTTTATGTATGGTGTAGGATAGTGGCCACTTTTATTCTTTTGCATGTGGCTGTCCAGTTGTCCCAACACCATTTATTAAACAGACTTTTCTGTTCTCATTGTACATTCTTGGCTGTTTTGTTGAAAATTAGTTGACCATATATGTGTGTGCTCCTTTTCAAGAAATTCTCCAGTACTCACTATATGTTCTGTTCTCTTTGCTCCAGCATCCTCAGGATCCAGACCCATACACTCTTCTGTTCCTGCAGAGACTGGTTGGCAAAGGCCTGCAGCAAATTCAGGAAATATTCGTTATCCTACCTTATCAGAACCAGCATTTCTCCTGTTGGGTTTTGTGGTGACTTGACCCTATTAATGGATCTAATGGTCAGGAGGGAAGGAAAGAATGAATCCTCAGAGGAGCTCGGGATATTGCAAAGGAGAAGCCTCTGTGTGCATCATCTTCAAGCAGAACTGGACAGAATGGGCCACTTTTGCAGGCCCAGAGAACTCAGAGGGATTAGTGTTTCAAGGTGTTTGCCTGTATCAATCCAAATGTCCCATCTTCAGTCTCAGGGTCTATAGGGGTATTGTGAGGTAGTGTTCTCTAGAAAAGTACCAGTAAAGGAATGATGTAAGGAGGATTGGGCCCCAGGAAAAAGTTGAAATGCTGTACAATTGCAACAGAGACCTCATCTGATTGTACGGGGAATTCAAGCCAGGACATCCCTTGAGAAAAGTTGCAAGTTGAAGCAAGGGGTCTTAGGTCTTTGAATCCCTGCAGTGACACCACTGGATATGGACAACTCTGGGGAGGAGAAGAAATCTGTGAGATGCAGCTCCCTTCAGCCAGGACAATTCCCAAGGAAGTAGTTAGACAGGAGCTGTCAGCAGGCAAACACAAGCATGAGGGAACAGGTGCCCAGCCCTGACAGGGATCCCAGCAGCTCAGCACAGTGTGCTCTAGAGGGTGTATTAAAGTTTCCAGCTTCAGTAGTTAATTTCTGTTTTACTCCCTGCAGTTATCAGTTATTGCTCAGTATTTCTTGAGTCCTTATTATTAGGGATACATAGTTATGGAGGATGTATATAGTCTTTGTCAATTTCTTTTTTTATAAGTGGATACTATGCTTATTTATTCCCTCCTGATTGTTTAAAATTCCATTTTGTCCATTATATTAGGAGGGTTACCTGTATCAGTCAGGGTTCAGCCAGAGCAGCAGAACGTATGTATTAGATTTTTACGGGGGGGGGGCACTTGGATGGCTCAGTGGTTGAGCATCTGCCTTTGGCTTAGGTGGCGATCCAGGGTCATGGGATCGAGTCCCACATCAGGCTCCTTGCTCAGTGGGGAGCCTGTTTCTCCCTCTGCCTCTGTCTCTGCCTCTCTCTCTATGTCTCTCATGAATAAAAAAAAAATCTTAAAAAAAATTTTTTTACAAGGAATTGGCTTAATGGTGAGGGCTGACGAGGCAAGATCAAAATCCATAGGGCAATCTGTCAGGAAGCAGGCTGGAAGCTTTGTTCACAGTTTCTTCTTCATCAGAGAAGCCTTGATTCTGTTCTTAAGGACTTTCAACCGATTGAATCAGGCCCACCCAAGTTATCTAGGATTAATCTTACCAACTTAATTCAACTGAGCTTATGCACTTTAACCATATCTAGAAAATACCTTCCCAGCAACACCTAAACTCATGCTTCACTGAATGGCAGGACACTATCGCCTAGCCAAGTGGACACATCAAAGACCTTCACACTGCCCAATTTGTTTTTGTTCAAATTTGCCTATTGTAGTAATATTAAGACTACGACACTCCTCCCATCAAGAAAGAGAGTCAACATTTGCCTCACCTTGATTCTGCACAGACTTGTGAGTCCTTTGATCAAATGTATGATGGCATGATGCATTGTGACTTCCAAAGCTATGTCATGAGCCACGAAGCTTCTTTCCTATTCACTAGAATATCTGCTCTTGAAGCCCCAGAGATGCCGTGTGAGAAGTCCAACTGGCCTGAGTCCCTCACGTGGAAAAGGCCCCTCTGCTAAAATCCAAGCTGAGCTCATCCTTAAGCCATCTCAGCCCACCCACAAGACATGTGAGTGAGCAGGTCATCTTGGAAATGGGCCCTCCCTGCCCTCAAATCATCTCAACTGAGCCCCCAGACACAATGGAGCAAATTAAAAACCATGCCCACTGTTCCCCTTCCAGATTCCTGACCCACAAAATCCAGGAGCATAATACAGTGGTTGTTCTTTAAGACCATTAAGTTTTGGGTGGTTTGCCAACACAGCAGTAGATAACAGGAGCGCCTAGAATGTTGTTCTTTCCTTTTATTTTCAAGCGTTTTATGTGGGTCAGTTGTATCCCTGTAAACAGCGTGCTATAGGATGTCATCCCTTTTTCCAGTCAGAATCAGATTCCTGAGGGAGGGGAGGGACTCAGAACCTTTCGTAGTGGATGTGTATGTACAGTAAAGCCGGAAAACGCACTTTGGGTTGTTCGGCCTCTGGGCCCGCATCTTCCCTGCCCCTCCCTCCTCTAGAACTCTGGCCCCAGGTTTTCTCCGGTTAATTAGGGCGGAGCGTTAACCGCCCCCCCCCATCCGCATCCCCCTCCCCGAGATGCCAGTAGCTCCCCGACCTCCAGGTCATCCACCAGACCTGCCTCTGGCCGGGGAAACTTTAAAGTTCCCTTAGAACCTTGCAGGCTAACGAGCAAGTCGCAGTGATGGGTGGAGGAGGTTACCATGGAGACAGGTCCTAGGAATGAGGCTCGGCGGGAGGGGGGCCGGGACGCGGCTTCCCATTGGCTGGGCGGGCGCGCAGCGTTCCCCTTGCGCACATGCGCAGTGGCGCTGAGGCGAGGTCGCGGCGGAGCCGAGGCGCGGTGCGTTCCGGACCAGGCTTCTCAGGACCCGGCTGGAAGGTGCGGCTCGCGGCCGAGACACGTCGTGCTTCCCGGGCTAGGGAAGTGGCGGAGCCAGAGGCCCCTGTGCGGCGCGGGGCTGAGCTCGCCACGCAGGCGCCCGCGCCCCCGCCGCCATTGTTGCGTGCCCCGGGCCTCTCGGGACGCTCCGGGTGCGCGTCCGCCGGCTCCCGGCGACAGGTAACGATGTCGAGGGCGCCGGGGGCGAGTGTCCGCGCGGTCCCCGGCCGGAGCCCCAGCCCGTCCCCGTGCGGCCGTCCGCGCCCGCGGCCTGCTGAGAAGGCGAGCACGGGGTGCAGGCTGCTGTGGCGGCCGGGTCCCCACTCCCCCCGCCGGCCGAGACCCTCCGACTGAAGAGCGAGGGACACCGGACCGGGAAGGGGAGGCGGCGGGCGAGGCCGGCGCATCTCCTCTGCAGGGCCTGCTAAACAGTTGGCTTTGGTTACACGGCTGAGCTTGAGCCCGGCTCGGAGCTGGAACCTGGGGACAGGTGGTGTCAGGTCGCCGGGTCTGGCCTGTTCTAAGCTTTTCTTCGGGAATCTTGGTTTCACATTTATTCATAAAGAATTGTCTGCATAGAAGCATTTAAGAGGGCTTCAAATCATCAGCCTGGTCTACTTTTTTCCAGTTCAACCGGCTTGTCTCTCCAGCCCTCAGATAGTGAAAAGCTAGAATAGGTTGGCATTAATATGCAAAGGAGGTAAATGACCCGCCCTTTTTTCCTTGACAGTTTCCCTGGGAACCTTGAGCGCTTGATTAAGAAAGATTCTCAAAAAAAAAAAAAAAAAGAAAAGAAAAGAAAAAAAAAAAAGAAAGAAAGATTCTCCACCCAGTTTGTTCTAAGTACCTAATAGATTCACTCTTGTTACTGAGAGTCAGTCCTTGAATAGTTTCTGTAACATCAGAAAAATACTGAAGCTCCCCTCCCCACCCCCGTAAAAGTTTGATTTTTTTTTCAACAAGTTAGAAGTTTGATCTGTTGTTTTGCTCATGATTCAGGTCTTTGCTTCTATTACTACCTTTTGATGGCAGTCCCAACCCCTGTCCCCAACAGATTGCATGTATCTCACAAGTCTGAGGATGTAGGAGAAGACCAAGGTAAAGTCTGTGTTTATCTGTACACACTGAATAAGCAGTTTCTGTTTGTGTATAGCAGAGAGCATCAGAATTCTTGACTTTATGGTCTGTTTTTGTGTTTCAGAGTCTCTTAACCATCCCTGCAAGTTCTGGGCTCAGAATTTGTAACTGCGGCTGCTAACTCTACCTTGATCCTCTTGTGCCCCTGACTGCAGCAGCCCTTGATATAATATCTTTGTGGCTCTAGCATGAGACTTCAAGCGGCTGGCTCACTGCTGGAGATCTAAAGGATATTGCCAGATTGACTCTCCTGTCTGTAGCCATGTTAGCCTCGTGCAAGAGGATGACCAATTCTTCACGCTCCCAAGTCCTTCTAATGTGGAAGCCAGACAAGGCTCAGAGTGGACCCCACAATGTTGAGAAGGAAATCCTTGCATCAAGAATCTTGCGTGACACTGAGACCTGTCGACAGAATTTTAGGAATTTTCCATATCCAGACCTAGCTGGTCCTCGAAAGGCATTGAATCAACTCCGAGAACTTTGCCTTAAATGGCTGAGACCTGAGATTCACTCAAAGGAGCAAATCCTGGATCTGCTGGTGCTGGAGCAGTTCCTGACCATCCTGCCTGGGGAGGTTAGGACTTGGGTGAAGTCCCAGTACCCAGAGAGCAGTGAGGAAGTGGTGACTCTGGTGGAGGATTTGACTCAGATTCTAGAAGAGGAAGGTGAGAATTGTAGGGCAGCAAGGGGAGGAATCCTGGGTGGTTAGAGAAGACAACCAGCATACCACAGAGCAGCCCTTTAAAGAAATTGGGGAGAGCAAAGGACAGTGAGTGAGAACAGGCTTTAACAAGAACCCCATCGTACATGCTGTGCTCCTTCCAGACTGCTTGAGACCAAACACACATTACCTAGTGCCCTAAAACAGTGACCAGACTACAATCCAGTTACCCCCGTGTGAGCCCTCAGGAATTTCACCTGCAGAGGTTTGAACCATTCTGTCAATAAATCATTTCCTTTTTGAATTGGATGTTAAAATAACATGCTTCCAAGAAGGTAGAAGAGAGTCCAGAGAATGTTTCCTTATTAAGAGACAACATCCAAATTGACATCACATGAAGATTTAGTAGAAAATGGGGAATTTGTACGTATCCTTAGCAGTCCCAGAACAGACTTATCTTTGAGGCCTACACAGAAATCTTAGGATAAGTCATTGGTCCTTCACTTTGGTTCTTTGAAGTAGGGGTGCTATTTTTGGTTTCTTTCTCATTCCTCACTATAGAAGAGTATAGGCATCTATTTGGTGAAGAGTTTCCTTGGCTATTCAAACAGGACTAATCATCATGGTCTCCCTTCCCTAGCTGCTCCTCAGAACTCTGCCCTTCCCCAAGAGACCCAAGAGGAAGACCCCAAAGGAAGACCTGCTTTCCAGGCAGGGTGGTTAAATGACTTGGTGACCAAAGTAAGTGTTAGTTTCTTCTGTAATTTTAAAATGGCTTCTTGGAGGTATTTGTGTGAGGGACGTTTTATGTCCTGGCCCTAAAACTTCTGCGCCCCCAAAAGCCCAATCTAGGACTTCATCAGTTTCTGTCTTTAAATCCATGTTGGGGGATCCCTGGGTGGCGCAGCGGTTTGGCGCCTGCCTTTGGCCCAGGGCGTGATCCTGGAGACCCGGGATCGAATCCCACATCGGGCTTCCGGTGCATGGAGCCTGCTTCTCCCTCTGCTGTGTCTCTACCTCTCTCTCTCTCTCTGTGACTATCATAAATAAAGAAAAATTAAAAAAAAAATAAACATTGTTAAAAAAATAAAGAAAGAAAGAAATCCATGTTGGCCCGTTAAGGTAAGTGACTGCCCTTTATAGGAAATAGGCTCCCGTTGCCTTCCCCCAATAGACCTTTCCTCACTGATTTTAAGGCAGTAGCATTGCAGAGAGGTTAAGGGATTGACCTCAAGAGGCAGATGAATCAAGTTTGGTGCCTGATTCTGAACCTATGATTTGGGGCAGAGATAATTGACCACACTTCACCTGAGTTATTAAACTCTAATAAATAGAATTTACCTCTTAGATTGCAGGGATTAAACACTATGAGATTTGTGGTTAGCCTGGATTACAGCAAACCATCAAAAAGCAATAGTTGATAAAATTAGTTTTCTCATTAACAAATGATTCAAGGCCACATGTTGTGTGGTGGTGTGTTGATTGTGTTCTATCAGGCCAGCTTAAGAGAAAGTTTTACTTTCATCTCAGACAAAAATATACATCTGAGATGGGTAGAGTAAAATTAATATTCATTGGTGATATGATTGTTTAGCTGAAAACCCTAAGAAAATCCAGGGAAAAACTGGGGAACAGTAGTAGAAAATATGAGTAAGGTGATTACTACAGAAAATGACATGAAAATTAATCATTTTCAGGGGTAGCTGGCTCAATTTGGTAGAGCATGTGACTCTATCGCATGGTCATGAGTTTAAGCCTCCTGTTGGACATAGAGCTTACTTTTTAAAAAAAGAAGAGAAGCACTTTCTTAACTATACATTAAAATCAGGAAAATGGGAGTGCCCAGTCAGTTAGGCATTTGCATTTAGCTCAGGTTGTGATCTCAGGGTTCTGGGATTTGAGCCCCACATCAGGCTCCCTGCTCAGCACAGATTCTGCTTCTCCCTCTCCCTGTGCCCTTACTCCCTACTTATGTTCTCCCTCTCAAATAAATAAATAATCTTTAAAAAAATAAAGTCAGACAAATGGTAAAGTGCAATAAAAGGTTCCATGCAGTTTTCCCGAACCCCAAAATATAAGACATCTAGGACTAAAAATAATATAAATTCTGCGGTACATCCATGTCGTGTATCATACTAAAGCCTTGAATGTTGTAAAATTGTCTATTCTCCCTAAATTATAAACAATATAACTTGAAAACCCAATACAATTTTTTTAAGGAACTTAGTTTATTTGAAAAATATGTAAGAGGAATCTTTTTTTCTTTTTTTTAAACAAAGGAAAGAAAAGGAGCAAAGAGGCATACTAACCTTACCAGACTGAAATGTATCGAAAAGTCTAACAGTTCATCAGCATGGTTTCGGTCCCAATTTTATTTTAAAAAGGAAGGAAGGGACGCCTGGGTGGTTTGGCGGTTAGGGCGTTTGCCTTTGGCTCAGGGAGTGATCCTAGAGTCCCGGGATCGAGTTCTGCGTTGGGCTCCCTGAATGGAGCCTGCTTCTGTCTCTGTCTCTCTCTCTGTGTATCTCTCATTAATAAATAAATAAAATCTTAAAAAAAAAAAAGTGCTAAAAAGGAAGGAAGGGCTCTGCATTTCATCATAGAGCACACAAATATATCTTAAAATTTCAAATGATAACACACTGAATTCTTTTTTTTTTTTTTTTTTATGATAGTCACACACACACAGAGAGAGAGAGAGAGGCAGAGACACAGGCAGAGGGAGAAGCAGGCTCCATGCACTGGGAGCCCGACGTGGGATTCGATCCCGGGTCTCCAGGATCACGCCCTGGGCCAAAGGCAGGCGCCAAACCGCTGCGCCACCCGGGGATCCCAACACACTGAATTCTTAAGGCAAAGCTTGAAAAGCACAGCCATTCAACTATGTCATCTGTATGAATCTCTTCTTTAAGACGAAGCCACTAATACACTTGTATCAGCTGAAAAAGCAATTATAAATTCTGTATTTTCAGACTTCCTGTAGGACAATTCACCCATAACTTGGGTGAGGGTTTTAACTATATAACCATTAAGGTCTTACCACAAAAACTCAAGATTCTGATTCCCCACCACCACCAGTGTACCTGGGGTTCTGATGTTGTCACTACCCTCCTCCTACCAGTTCTTGAACCAAGTTATGTTTGATGTTTCAGGAATCAATGACATTCAGAGATGTGGCTGTGGATATCACCCAGGAGGACTGGGAGATAATGCGCCCTGTACAGAAGGAATTGTACAAGACTGTGACATTACAGAACTACTGGAACATGGTTTCTCTGGGTAAGTGTCCTCTGCATCGTCTCCTGCCAGCAAACCATCCATCTTCCTTTCCTCTGTTGTTATGGTAGCCTCTGAAGCACTTTGCTAAGAATGGGGCCTGGGAGGTGTGAGTGTACTCCTCACATTTCGGCATAGAAATGTTGCGTTCTCCATTTTCCCAAATAAAAGGTTTCTAAGTGAAAGATCACTGAAAACTGATGCACAGTTTCCCAGGGCTTCCACACAACACTGCACCTTGCCCACTCCCTACTTTTCCTGTGATCACCTTCTGCCATGATCTCTTTGTGCATATTTCCAGAGTAGCAGGAAATTTTTATCCTAGCTCTTAGAAGGACTGACGTATTCTCCCACTAGATGATGTCCACGAACCATTGTTTTCCCATAGAAGTCTGTCCTCACAGATAGGTAGAAGTCAGGCGATAAAATTTGAACAACTGTTTATCTCCAGGATAAAACTCCTTATATTTCTCCTAAACAGGACTTACAGTGTACCGGCCAACTGTGATTCCCATACTGGAAGAACCATGGATGGTGATAAAAGAAATCTTAGAAGGCCCTAGTCCAGGTGAGAGAATAACTGTCATGAGATTGTTTGCACTTAAGAGTGTAAGAGCAGTGAGATAATATTTTCTAAATATGGCCAAGTCATTCTCCACATAAACACCGTGCTTGTCAGGAACACTGAACTGGCATTGCTTCCTTAACAGAGGCCACCTTCAGGAAGAGTTCCCAAACACCATTGTTCCACCTTTTCCTCTGTGTCTCATCTTATCCTTCTCTGTGAGCCCTGGGTCCCATCCCCAGCTTTGTCAGGGGCTTTCACTGTGCCATGGCCCCCTCCTTCTTTTTTAAGCATGCATAAATGTCTCTAAAATTTTAAATTTTAGACCTTCTTCTTTGTTGGTTTCTTTTATTCTTTTTACCAACAAACCACTTCTCTAGTTTCCAACCTCCAGTCTCCACTTCTCTAACTCATTCTTTTATTTTCTAATTAAAAAAAAAAAAAATCTTCAGGGATCCCTGGGTGGTGCAGCAGTTTGGCACCTGCCTTTGGCCCAGGGCGCGATCCTGGAGACCCAGGATCGAATCCCACATCGGGCTCCCGGTGCATGGAGCCTGCTTCTCCCTCTGCCTGTGTCTCTGCCTCTCTCTCTCTCTCTCTCTCTCTCTCTCTCTCTCTGTGACTATCATAAATAAATAAAAATTAAAAAAAAAAGTGTCAAAAAAAAATCTTCAAAAGGTTCAAAAATGTTCTCTTACTGTATAGTGCATTCACCCAGTTCCTGTATCTCCCAGCACCTAACCACTGGTGCTTATTTCTAGTTGTTTCTGTTTGAGTGTTTTGTTTGCATATAAAGCTGATATAAAGATGTTTTTCCCAAAAAATCTTATATTTGGGGTGCTTTCTTTATATCATTTGGGGGAAAAAATGTTTTTTCCTCCTTAAGTAATCTCTACCCCTAACGTAGGACTTGAACTTGTAACCCTGAGATCAACCTCTACTGACTAAGCCAGCCAGGTGCCCTGCCTCCTTCATTTTCTAACAGAAATGGTAGCAAACTGTACATACAGTTTTGTACTTTGCTTTTGTTTACTTAAAAATATCTTGAGAGGTGTTCCAAACAAGATTATAAAGACCTTCCTTGTTCTCTTTTTTTAATATCTGCATCACATTTTATTGTGTATCTCATTATTTGTTGAATCTGTTCCCTATTGATGGACTTTTTGATTGTTCGCATTCCTTTCTTCTTTCCTCCACAAGAACTTCAAACATATAGAAAAGTTAGAGAATCGGTACATTGAACGCCTATATAATTTTCACCTGGAACCACCAGCTACCATCATTTAGTCACTTTTGTTTTATCTGTTTTTGGGAGAAGGGAGGGCGGAGGGAGAGAGAGTATCTGAAGCAGACTCCCCACTAAGCTTGGAGCCTGACACAGGGCTCCATCTCACCAACCCTGGGATCATGACCTCAGCTGAAACCAAGAGTCAGATGCTTAACTGACTGAGCCACTCAGGCACCCCTTTGCTTTATCTCTTTACACACACGCGCACACACACTTTGTTTTTGTCTGAACCATTTGAAAGTTAGTTGTAGGGATTGTGACGTCTCACCCCTAAATATTTCTGCCCGTTCTCTCCTAAGACCATGACCGTTCTTCTATTTTGGCACATCCTTGTCTCACCCCAAATATTTTTAACATTTATACAGTAACATCATCTGATGTATAGTCAAATACTCAGATTTCCCCACTGTCCCCAAATATTCTGCATAGATATTTTTCTCTCCAGTCAGGGATCCTATGCTGCTTATCCTGGTTCTTTAGCCCCTTTTAATCTAGAACTGTTCCTCAGCCTCTTGTCTTTCCTTTTTCTCCTTCCATTCTTCTTTCCTTCTGACATTTTCTGAAGGATCCAGGCCAGGTTTTTTCAGAATGACCCACAATCTAGATTTGCCTGATTGTTTCCGTATGTTTAGATCCAGATGAAATAGGTTTACCATAAAACATCACAGGTGTGTACTCTCCATTGCCCTTCATCTCATCGTTGATGAAACTCATTTTAGTTGAGGTGCTGTTGACCAGATCTCTCCATTTTAAAAGGTGCGTTTTTGTCTTTATAATCAATAAGTGATGAGGCCACCTGACTATTCCATTCCCTGGTGCTATTTTATTTTATTTTTATTTTTATTTATAATAGACATAGAGAGAGAGGCAGAGACACAGGAGGAGGGAGAAGCAGGCTCTATGCCAGAAGCCTGACGTGGGACTCGATCCCGGGACTCCAGGATCGCGCTCTGGGCCAAAGGCAGGCACTAAACCGCTGAGCCACCAAGGGATCCCCTAGTGCTATTTTATTTAGGGACTTTTAGCATCCCCTGTTGATTCTTACATTATTACATTGCTGATTGCAGGATAGATTTTCTGATTCAGAATTCCTCTCTCCTAAAGTATCAGTAATGTCTCCTATAAAAAAATAGTTCTTCCTCCAACCTCATGTCTTTTTTTTTTTTTTAAGATTTTATTTATTCATGAGAGACAGAGAGAGAGAGGCAGAGACACAGGCAGAGGGAGAAGCAGGCTCCATGCAGGGAGCCTGATGTGTGGGACTCGATCCTGGAGATTCCAGGATCACATCCTGTCCGGAAGGCAGGCACCAAACCGCTGAGCCACCTAGGGATCCCTCCAACCTCATGTCTTATGTGAACATGTCACTATGGACCAATGGAATTTTTCAAAATTCAGTGTTATTAGTCCATTAATTCCAGTTCTGTTTTGTTTGCTTGTTTTCATGCTCAGTTGTCCCAAGTTTGGGTAATACTACTTGAAAAGCTTATTCTTTAATTCTTTTAATAATTTATAGCAGAATGACTTATATGTACCTGTAGCACAGACTATACCTACAGCACAGTAAATTCTCTGTGGAATGATTTTGGCGCACTCTAAACACTGAAGAAACATGCATGATATAACGGACAAGGGCCTGGACTAATGTCAGGATAGGCTTCTGAAAGGCACTGCCAGTCTGGGACTACTTTAATTTGACCCTGAGTAGTTTTTTAGATCATTCGGGCAACAGGAATTGGGGCTGTAGTCCGCAAGAGGGGGCATTTTATGGTTACATATTGTAGGGGGAGAATATTCTGCCTCTAAAGAGCATCAAGACTGAGAAAGACAAGTTCCTTTTTGCCTTCTATAGAAGTGAGATTTTTTTTTTAGGTTTTGTTGTGTTTTTCTTTTTTCTTAAAGATTTTATTTATTTGTTCATAGAGACAGAGAGAGAGAGAGGCAGAGACACAGGCAGAGGTAGAAGCAGGCTCCATGCAGAGAGCCTGACGTGGGACTCGATCCAGGGTCTCCAGGATCACGCCCTGGGCTGCAGGTGGCGCTAAACCGCTGCACCACCAGGGCTACCCTTGTTGTGCTTTTCTAACCAGTCCCTAAAGCAGATGATAATACTCTAAGCTGAGGAGTCTTGTCAGCCTCACTTCCTTGTTAGAGCACCAGGCTCTGCTTTCTGGCCCCTGAACCCCTTGCACCCTTAAAGTGAAAGTGGAAGGTCATTAAGGTCATTAACCAGAATGAGGAGCTATCTCAATCAGGTCCTGCTGGAGACTTCCTGTCTTCCTGCTTTTGCTTGATTTTTGGCCTCTGAAGATTTTCCTTTCTTACCAGCTTAGAGATACATAATAAGCCAAATCTTGAATAGGATATCTAATTCATCATATTTCAGGAAGTGGAAACTTTGATAATTCACACATAGAATAGTAGTATTGGTCCTCAATGGCCATTCCTGTCTCGGAACTTTTCTATTTCTTTATTTAGGACCTAGCCAGGGACTCCTGGGTGGCTCAGCAGTTGAGTATCTGCGTTTCGCTCAGGGCATGATCCTGGGGTCCAGGATCGAGTCCCACGTCGGGCTCCTTGCAAGGAGCCTGCTTCTCCCTCTGCCTGTGTCTCAGTCTCTCTCTGTCAGTGTCTCTCATGAATAAATAAATAAATCTTAAAAGGGGGGTGAGGGGATGCCTGGGTGGTTCAATGGTTGGGCATCTGCCTTCAGCTCAGGAAATGATCCCAGAATCCTGGGATCCAGTCCCATATCAGGCTCCATGCATGGAGCTTGCTTCTCCCTCTGCCTGTGTCTCTGTTTCTCTCTCTCTCTCTGCCTTTGTGTCTCTCATGAATAAGTAAATAAAATCTTTAAAAAAAAAAAAAAGAAAGAAAGGACCTAGCCATTCCTTCAGGTTCAACTCAAATCATCCTCACCCCCACCCCCCACCCCCCAAGTAAAGCTTTTTTTGAGTAGCTGAGTCGATACTGATTTCATCTATGAGAAGTATTGTGCCGCTTTTTGGCCCTGTTGACCAGTAGACACTTATATTTCCAACTAATCCTTTTCTTGTTAAATCTATATGTTTAAGCACTGCTTAATAATACTAATTTTTGAATTACCAGTAAACTGGTTTAAAAATCTGTCTTTATTGTAGCAATTTCTTCATCGTCAAGGTTTATACTTGTTATTTTAAGCTCGTTATACCTTTAGTACTTCCTTTTTAGGTATATAGTACACTGCCATAGATACATAGAATTGCCATGATTACATAGAATCAAAATTAACAGAGTGTCTGAGTGGCTCAGTTGGTTGAGCATCCAGCTCTTGATTTTGTCTCAGGTCATGATCTCAGGGTCATTAGATTGAGCCCTGCATTGGGCTCCACACTCAGTGCAGAGCCTGCTTAAGATTCTCTCTCTCTGTCTCCCTCTGCCCCTCCCCGCTTTCATATGCTTGCTCTCACGAGAGAGTGTTCTCTTTCTCAAAAAAAATAAATCTTTTAATTTTTTAAAAAGATTTTATTTTTTCATAAGAGACCCAGAGAGAGGCAGAGACACAGGCAGAGGGAGAAGCAGGCTCCATGCAGGGGGCCTGAGGCAGGACTCGATCCCAGGACTCTGGGATCATGCCCTAAGCCAAAGGCAGATGCTCAACCCCTGAGCCACCGAGGCATCCCAAAAATAAATCTTTTTTAAAAAAAGAATTAAACTCAGCTTCTGGTACTGCCTC